CCCCCCCCCCCCCCCCCCCCCCCCACTACCAGCTTCTGCTACTATGGCTACACAGATGACAAGGACGATGCTTACCACTAACACCTCTACTATTCACGACGCCGACAGCTACGACCACCACCGCTGCCGCCGCTGCACCACCAGCACCACAACAAACAACAACCAACCACGACAACAACAGTAGCAGCAACCACCACCACCAACAACAACAACAACACCAACAACACCACCACCAACAACAACAACAACAACGACGACGACGACAACAACGACGACAACAACAACAACCCTGCTGCTACTGCTGGTGCACAACTGGGTGTCCGTAGCCGTAGACGATAAGCCACGGCACCGACCACAGATCAGGGGCTCCGTGTCAAAACTCTCAGGCACAACTACCGGGCACCTAACTCCCAGGAAACTGCCAAGATCAGTCCTCGACTGCCCAGACAGCATCGGTTAGCTCGCGGCCGAAGACAGAGCCGAGCACCACATAGGCCACGTCGCCACAAGAGGGCCCCTGAGCCTTGCAACAGACAACAAAGCAAGATCAGCTGGAGTAGCCGCAGCAGCAGCTGCAGTGACAGCAGAAGCAGCATCAGCAACGACAGGATCGACAGCAGCAACGCTACTACCAGCCAGGAGCGGCAGCAGCGGTAGCAGTAGCAGTAGCTCTAGCAGTAGTACTCCGTCACCGCCACCACTACTACTACTACTACTACTACCACCACGACTGCGACTGCGCTAGGACTGTGACCGCGGCGACTAAGACCCGCAACTACGACTACCATGATCGATGTCTGCGACCTACGACTACGAATACCTCTATGACTGCGACTGCATACGACTCACGACTACAGCTCTGACTAGGGCTAGGGGTTACGAGTTACGACCTACGACCAACGACTCCGACCATGACGGTGACTCATCGGACTATGCAGACTACGACTACAACTATGCCCCATGGCTACGGCGAGTGCTGCCGCCAGTGCTACTGCTACTGCTGCTTCTACCGCCACTGCTCGGGCTACCGCTACCGTTCCTGCTACTGGTGGAAGTAGTAGCAGCAGTAGTAGCAGCAGCGGAAGCAGCAGCAGTGGCAGTAGCATCCGACTCTATCCGCTCAAAGCCACTAGAACAATGGCCCAAAACGCCCTGGGTGGCAGTTGACAAGTGGCGGTTGGCGTGCTCGCTGCTTCCGACGGCAGTGAGTCGGCCTCACGCAGCAGCCCGCAGCAAACACCAAACCCAAGGACCGAAGCTTGCTGTCAGCTACATCTCTAGCTTCATGTGATTCATGTCATTGTAAAGAGATCCAGAGCCATCTGGCTCCGAGATGTGCCCTGAGTAACTTCAGGGGCATCATCTGCGAAGCCTTAGAAGGAACAAGGTGATTACAGAAGACCGAAGGTTTCGAGGAGTTTCAGGCTCCGTCTGCCCAAGGGAAGGCAAGAAGAAGCACTCTTGTCACTTTGCTCGGTGCTTCGACTCCTTCCCGGAAGGCCTACAACTCAGACGCAACCTTCAGGGCCCTGACCTTACCCCTGCAACACGACAAAGCATCGCTTTAAGCAGGAGACCTAGCTCGCTGAAGCGATAAGGACCTTCCTTTAAGCTGCAGGCCGGTCCTAGGGGGGGGCGGCGACCTGGAGCCAAACTACCGTAGGGGGCCTTAGTACGTAGAGTAGGGTTTTGGGGCCCATTATACTATAATCAGAACAAGGAACCCCCATAACGGTATAGGTTATTATTAAGGCCCCTGCATTACCTGAGCAGCAAAGTTTGGCGAGACGCGCCCCCCTATTCCCTCTAAGGCTTCCTCGAAGGATCACCTCCTTGAATTCCAAGCCCCCGTGCGGATCTCCGCAGGTAAAGTTTAGGGGCCTGCACGTGGAATAGGATTTTGGTGCTTAACAAGACTTAACCAACAAAAACAAGGCAGAGATATGGGTGCTAAATATCCAGGCCGCTGCTGGAAACCCTCTCACAAAACCCTAAAGCCTGTATGAAACCCATCGCAAGAACCCGATCTGAACAATCGGCCTCCAGCAGAGCTCCGAAAGTTTCCAGCGCCCGGGCTGCGGACCAGGGCCCACCCTCGAAGGTTCGGGTCTAGGGGTTTTTAGGGCCTTCGGTGTGGAGGTGTAGGTGTTCAGAGGTGGCGGGGTTTCGAAGTTAGGGATTTAGGATTTAGGTTTGATCACCCAGAGCCTATCCTGAGCCTGTTCGTTTTGCTGAACGGACCATCGCATTCGTTGGCCTCCGGGTTGAGGAATCATGGTTTGGGGATTAATGATTAAGGGTTTATTTTGCATTGCTGAGTGGGCTGATTGATAGCACGGACTGTAGTTGGCTTCATTCCATGTAACCTAGCTCCAGAGCCCCCATGCCTCCACTGCCTCCGACAGCAAGCGTTTGATCAGAATGCCAACACCATAGCCCCTCTAAGTGCACTCGCCCTTGCTGTCTTGAGTACTGACGCTAAGCTATTGATCTTTTTCATAATCATATGATGAAGCTTACCATGTATGTTGCTATCGGACTTGTCCAGCCTTCTCGTCGTCCTCCGATCTCAGCTCCTGGTTCTGTTCCTCGGCTGGAAAACTTCGGGGTCTTTGAGGCTGCGGGTGTCAGGTTTAGGCTTTATCACGTTTCGGGCTCAGCGTTGTTAGCTTTTTCGCGGTGTAGGGTTCGAAGCTTAGTTTAGGTCTGAAGAAAAAAAGCTCTAAACATCCGAGCCTCCCCGGCTCCGAGATCTCCAGGCACCCAGCAGTGCCCTTGCAGCCTCCGGCCCGCGGCCGCGCGCAGCTGCGAGTCGGGAGCCGAGAGCCTTAGGGTTTTTTTTTTTAGGGCCTTTTTCCGTCTGCTAACTCCTAGCTCGGGAATCTGCGTGGCAGAAGGCAAGTACCCAACCTTAGGGTTTAGGGTTTAAGGTTTAGGGTTTAGGGTTTGGAACTCCGGGTGCTTTGGGGCCCTCGACTTTAGGGAACTAGGGCTTTAGGGTTTTGGGAGGTTTTAGGGTTAAAATGGGACTTTGGGAATTAGGGCTTTATAGGGTTTGGGGGTGTTTTGAGTTAAAATGGGACTTTGGGATTAGGGCTTTATAGGGTTTGGGGGTGTTTTAGGGTGATAATGGGACTTTGGGAATTAGGGCTTTAGGGTATTGGGATGCTGTAGGGTTAAAATGGGCTAAGTAAGGTTTACGGTTAGAAGTATGGGCGGGGGAGCAGACCTTGTCGTTCTCATGTCCTCCTTGCAAAGACACGACGTCCAACTCTATGTGGTTTGGCCACCGGACAAGGGACTCTCCACGACTCTACGGAATCCTGAGCCCTCAATCCCAAATCCCCGAAACCCCAAGGAAGCACAACAAAATTTGAATTGCTACCCACTGTGGTCAAAAAGTGAAACTTAAACTCTACACACACTCCCTACTTCGACCCCAGAGTCTCTTGCACCCGAGGGGCAAAGGCACCAGTTTGGGAGCCAAGGACCGCGGAGCAAAGGGGAGCAGCGCGGCGGCCGCGGCGCAAGCCTTCATGTTGGCGCCAAGTTGGTGATAAGGCAGGTCAGGTGGAAACTCTTGTTTCGGAGCCTAGGGCCTGGGGCCCCAAGGCCAGGGCATGGTGCCGTTGCTCATAGCAACCAGAGTCGGCGCATGACAAAGGTGTTACATTCAGGAGCTTATGCCGTATGTTCAAAAGCCTCACGCTCATCGTCTTGCCCAGTCGGGCCTCTCTTCCACGGGTTTAGGGGGGAGGGGGTTCATGCGGATGCCTCGTTTGCACCGGGGGTGTTGCGGCTCAACATCTCCAAAGGAATCCCTTGCTCGCCCTTTAACGCACCTGCAAACTTCTTTCAAACTGAGCCTTGGAGCCCCCAAGCAGAGCCGCAACGAGCTAAAGTAGCGACAGGCAAGGACTTTTGTCAATTGTGACAGAAAGTGAAAGCGCAGTTTCCGGTCCAAGGCCTCAGTACTTTCAGGTTCGGTTCGGGGCCTCTGCGGCATTTGGAGGCATGCGTTCGGGCCAAAAGCGTCTGTTCAATGTGCCAGCGGGGAGCATCATCCACGAACGCGTCCGACACGGCGAAGGTGCTATCCTCGTGGGCGTTCAGGAGCCACTTGCTGGATGTTGCGACGGCCTGGCAAGGCGGATTGAAACCGCTGGAAGATCTGCTTTACTTCCATGTCTTGCTTCTTTCGGGCTCCAGGATCTATCAGGTAACTAGCAGATTATTAATGATATAAGATTATCATAAATAAGGCCCTTTTTTTTCGAAGCAAGCGCCAGCCGCCTGGAGCACCGTGGGCCAGTTGGCCTCGGGCCACTGCCCTGCCTCGCAGAGTGCGGCCACCAGGCGCCAGACGCCAGGAGCTGCCGGGGCCTTCCTGGGGTCTTGTTAAGAGATTAAAATGTAAGTTACCATAATAAGGAAACCCTATTACTTACTGTAGATCCCTATTATAATGGTAACTTAAATTTAAATCCCTATATCAAGAGCCCAGTTTCTGGCAGCTTCGGGCGCTCACCGAGGCGGTGCCCAAAGTCTCCAAGGCCAGGCGAACCATGCCTGGGGTTGGGTGAAGGAACTGAGAGAAAGATGCCGGAACAACACGAAACCAAGATTCGTGCTATCCCTTTCTGACTCTATTTCTGTACTGGTAAGTCTAAAGATTGATAAGTGAAGCTTAAGAGAAGTTCCCTAACAAGGGCCCAGATACGCGAGGGCAGCCGCCCGGCTGTGCTATCCGCAGTGGACACAGCAGGCCACAAGGCAGCCGTGTAGACAGCAAAGGTGTCTGCTCGGCAGGGCTGTGCCTGAGACCAGCGGAGCAGCTTTTCAATGCTCTCCACCAGGCTCGTGTCCAGATCTTCCTGTGGCGAGGGCTCCTTCTCCTTCGCTGTGATTCCCTGCCTCGTTTCTTCCGGCACCTCCGCGATGACTGGCCCGTCCGAAAGGACCCTTTCTGCCTCGCCAGTGCACGGTGCCTCTGCCGTGTGAGCCTGCGCAGCCTCCTCTACAGCTGCCGCGAAGACCAGGTGCTGCTCGGTGATGGCCGCCTCGCCCGAGATCGGCGAGTCCCGAATCCAGGCTCTGCACCTAAGGATGGGAGCGTGGCCCGAAAGCCAAAAGGCCGAAAGGACCCCGAAAAACGCTCAAATGTCCCTATAACATGATCCTGCGACAGCAAAAGCACCTGCCGAGGGCTGCTGTGAGCTCTGGGCCCTGGATCACCCCGACACCTGCAAAGAGGACTCTGACGTGGCGAGGGCGGCTGAAGCATTGACTCTTCTATTCCAGTCTCGGGGCTTAAGAGCCTGGCATCTGTCCAACTTATATATATATATATGTATATATATGTATACATATATAGAGAGAGAGAGAGAGCTCAAAGGGTTCCTCAGCCTCCCCGCGATAGGACGTCCTGCGCCAACTACCCCCTGTTCAGTCCACCAGCAAGCCGTGACAAGAGTGGGTGTGAAGCCCCGTGAGGATGCACGAGCGAAGCTCATGAGCTTCCAGGCACTTCAGGAACCGCAGTCCCAAAGAAACTCTCCCAATAGGATACGGATTTCAATGATTCCCATCGCGCCACACCGGAAAACTCTGCAAAGGATCATGTCTGACACAGCAAGTCGATAGAAACTCCCCGCACGCAGCCGAAGAGACATGGAAGGGACAGACTTGTTGAGACAAGTCGAAAAGCCTGCACTCTGCCGCACCACCGTGGCAGCAGCGTGGCCCCAGCCGAGGGTGCCGGTGGCAGCTTTGTCGCTGAGTGCCCAGGCGAGAAAGCCTTCTGCCTTAGCTTCGATAGTATATCGTTGCGTATCAAATCACGACATGTCCTTTTTGCAGCATATTACAGGAGCAACCAGAAAGTTGGAACATCATTATCCTCAGGCCCTTAAGCTAAATCATTCTAAATCCATGTTCCAACTTTCCGGGGTTCACTATATAGCATCCTGCCGTGCGATGTTAGCTTATGGTGCTTTATAGTGCGTGTATTCCAACCATCCTGTATTGCGTGGGTTCGACCCAGGCTCTCAAGCGAAACCCTGAATCGTTGCCCACAGAGCCCTTAAGCCGAGCTGCACCCAAGGACTCGGATCTGTCGGCATCCGTCCAGAGCGCCGCCAGCAGGTGCCGCAAGGGACTGAGCCCTGCCTTGGACCGGGTTGTGGGCCGGCAGCGGTTTGGGGTGATGAGGGGAAGATAGAAGCTTCCAAGGACTGAGTATGAGGAGGATCATACGCATTTATTCTCGGAAAACCTCGGACGATCATCACCTTCAGGCTCTTCCATCTCCACTTGCGAGACCAAGTCATGTGCTTGGCAGTCGGGCAACAACATGAGCATCGCTTTCATCTGCAGCGAAGGACCAACCCAGACGACGAGCAAGAGCCGATCTCGGAGGCTGCTGACATCTGATCTCATTGAAGAACGGACACTGCCAAAAACACATGCTCAACAGAAATGTGAAAGGCAGATTGCACACTGGTCACGCTGTGGGCCAGGTGGGATTTCATCCCAGGGCAAACCGTTTGCACAGGAGCTGGGTGCTTACAAACGATAAACCCGCAATCACGTTCCCGCCACTGGATGCGGTCACCTTGGGATGCAGCGATTGGCGCGGATGAAGGAGAGCGCCGGTTCGCTGGAACACGCCGGCAATCCCTCACACGCTGAGCCTGACGAGGACTTGAGGTGTTGGGACAAAAGCGGCCCGGGACAAGAGGTCCGCGGAGTGGAAGGCGACAAATCCAGGCCCGAATCAACGTCTCCGGGGGGGCATGCAAGCAACCTCGGAAGGAACGGGTTTCGGGCATCCGGGAAGGCGGCGGGGCGAAGAGGCCGGCAACGACAGACCTTGAGCACGCCGTGAGAACTTGCAAGTGCCAAGTGAACAAGATGACAGACCAGGCAGGCGAAGTTTGGGACTCGACATCACACTTCTACTTGGCCTGCGGCTCGGGAGACTGCAATCACTGCGAGGGCCAGCTCCACGATGCTTGAGCATGGAGCTTGGATTTGTGAACTGTTTCGTGGGTCCAGGGGAGAGGAGGGTCATGGACGAGGGCTTGGAAATGGCCGTCAGATAGGATGAGGCAAAAATCTTCAGTTTAAGAAATAGATGCAATCAAGGGAGAGCGAAGCACTGCAGTACAGAGTCGGTGAAGCGAGTTTCTGCAGCGGGCGAGACAGCGAGTGAGTGAAGGGAGTCAGGAAAGTATGTGAGCGGTGAAGCGGGCAGTGTGCGCGGTAGGTGCGTGGAGCAGGGGAGGGGAGCAAACCGACTGGGGAAAGAGGAGTCATGCAAATCCGTGAGGTGAGGGAGTTCATCCGTCATCATCCGTCTGTGGCGGCTTCATGATTGAATGGCTGCGCCGGTGCGTGGGACCTCAAGGAAGAGTGAGTGGTATCAGTGAGTTCTACCTACGAGCAAGGCGCTCAGTGAACACGTCGCCGAGGTAGTGCACGGCAGTGTGTGAGTGCGCCACTGTATAGGGAGTGAGATGTGAGACATATTGAACAGCAGCAATGCATGGGTGAAGTCACGAACGAGTAATTGGCGCGTGCCTGTGCAGCGTAAGCGTGTGTGTGTGTGTCAGGTGGGGATGGACTTGCAGAGATTGAAAGGCTAGGCCTGCGAAGTGCATCGACTGAAGGGTTACGCGAACAAGTGAAGGCGGTGAGTTCCGTGATTGACTGACTGCGAAAGTTGACCGACAAGGGGAGCAAACGAATGGGGATGGCATGCGCCTTTATAGAGCCTTTGGGTTGGAGCCTTCGACTGCTTCCAGGCTTTTGGAGCTTGTCATTACACTTACAACACAATAAAGCTATATATGTCATCTTTACAGATTTCTCATCCTTCTCATCATGGTGGCCACCCAAAAAGCCCGAACTCCAAAGCCGGCGGGGAGCTCCACTTGACTCTACTGGCAGCTCCCAGCATCTGGGGGAGAAAGTCTCTTCCTGAAGAACAATCATCTCAAATGACTCCCGAGCTGCCAAATGAGCCGACAGCGGCAGCAAGGTTTCGCCCTCCTTGCTCCTTAGCTGCTCTTTGCATCTCAGGCAAGTAAAGCCCTTTACTAGCAGGGGCTTTATTGCCGTGGAATCTTGGATCTTGTGCGGTCCGCATTAAAGGAAGAGAGCGTGGGAGTCCCAGGTTGCAAAATTCGTCGCACCCAGAAGCCCCCGAGGTTGCGATTTCTCTGAACCGTTGACACCGCCCCCCCCCCCC